TAGCCTGTGTTTTAGAAGGAGGCTCCCAGTGTCATAGATTAACCTAGTTGTTTAATGTATGTCTCAGAGAAAAGCTGTCATGATTATCTTTAGTTTTCTCTAACCAATTTCTTTACTTGTTATTAATACTAACAAATAAAATTATAATACAGAAGAAAGAAAGGGGGGAATCTTTATTTTTGAGGTAAATTTTTAACATTGGGCAAACTAGACATTGAATTGTTCAGCTGTATAACCACAACCCGCAAATCATATGTGTACCTCTGTGCAAGGGAATTTTGCATTTGTACGAAAGTCAGAGAGTCATAGCAGTTCCTACACCAGTCTGCAGTCCTCAAAACGTCTCTAAATCCAGTGCTATTTACCAGCTTCACCTGTATATGTTTAGTGTTGAGCTGCTTACTTGCAATGGTAATGCTTTTTGGAAATGTCCTGTGTTACACTTTTAATATCTTGATCATTGGTTTATTTTAATTACTTTGAAATTTATTTTGAAGAAAGCAATGACAATCAAGAATACAGGGGACTGCATTTAAGATCTGGAGACAAACTACAGAAAGGAGCCTTTCACTTCAGAACTGCTGGTAGGAATCCAGCTCAGTTTCAGACTTAGCAAAAGTCATTACTGTGCGGTGGCTTCTTGGTGCCATGCACTCTACATCCACAAATGAGTCAGTGTCCACATCACACAAACCACCAGAACAATTGGTGCTACTGTAATTGGGAGTCTACTGGCAGCATCAGTGGAAAGGGCAGGGACTTGAATGAGCATGGAAAATGAGCTGCTTTCTCCCTGCTCCCTCAGGTCACCTTTGAGACATGTCTGTGTGAGGAAACTTAGAAGAAATTTGTTCTGTGGTAGCTCCCCTTCTGGAGATAGATGGAAGACTTTAATTTCCAGTACTTACAGTCTGACACCCACTAACATTGCATTCAAGAAAAACAAAGATCATTATGGGTTTGTTTAAAGTGTGAAAGCATGAACTAAAAAAAAAAAAATAAAGCTAAGTAAGATTGAAAAATCAATAATAAAATCCAAATTCTGACTTGACATAATAGGAACAGAGCCAAACAAATATTGTCAAGCATGACCACCATTGGCAACAATTGCTTCCCTAAAAAACATAGAGAAATCCTGCTCTTTTATTAAGCCATTGAACAATCTCTTTGAGTTGAATTCCTTTTAGGCAAAAATAAAGGAATGCTTCCACTGTTCAAACATTCTCTTTGGAGCTGAGAACATGGATTGATAGAAGAGATGTTGGACTATTCAGCCTGAGATGATGCCTTGATGTCATGGAAACAGCGACTGGAAGGAGAGCCCTCAGTAGCACAGGAGACCATAAAGAGAGGGCTGGGACTGCCAGTGTGCATGTGAATCAGTGGTGGAGAGTGGAAGGGACCTCCAGAAGTCATCTCCAGCTTCTGAACTTGGCACTTCCACTGGGTTGTCTGTTGTGAAGTAGGGAGGTCTTCATCTTAGAATTCATATGCTACCATTAGTAATCCTAAAAAAACCCTGCTTCTGAGAGGAAACTGACTGTGTACTGCCAAAGATTAATTTAGCCCTATAGTTCCTGTAAGCTTCAAACAGTTAAGCTGTGAAGACGTCTCTTAATATGCTGAAATGACACAATCGTATATGCTGATTACAGTGGTGAATGTGATATGAATTTTTGACTAAGTGAAAGTAAAAAGAATGTGCTTGATGTCAAATAAGTGCATTAGCAAATCTGAAATGTTCTGAGACAGCTTGGACTATTTATGATTTCGTGGCAAATTCAACTAAAAATAGAAACTTCAGTCTCAAACTGAAGTTCTTTACTGCAGTTCCTCGAAAACAAAACATTTTGACTTTTCATATTAAAACAGTTCAAAAACTTAACTTAAATAACTTTTCATTGTTTTAAGAGTGCCTCAGACCCAGAAAGTTAATTTCTCAGTATTTATTTTTATGTGTGGGAGAGGGGAAATTGAGAGCAACCCAATACAAAAATGTGCGTGTGCTTGAGTGTGTACATGTGTCTGGGGATGGGGTTTGACCACAAAACTGAATGATAAATTATTTGTTCTCAATTCTCTAGCTGTAACCTGCCACATTTCTTCTTTTGTATTTTTGGGCTTCTCTTCAGTAGATATACCAGATTGCATAGTGTTGTTTGTACAGAGGAGACAAGATTTAGATACCTATGTTTGTTCCCAGTTGTGTGGTAAGCAGGATTTGAAGGTGAAACCAGGTGTAACTCCCTGCTCTTCAGTCTCCTATGAGGTATATCTGTATCATGAAGGCGGTGGGAAATAAGCACGTCCTTTCAGGGTAAATATGGAGAAGTATTGTGGAGCACCATAAAGGTGTGAGGTCCAACTAAAGAGTTTCTGGGAGCCAGAGGATAATAGCACCCAGAACACAGATTTCAGTTTAAAAAAAAAAAAGTGTGAGAGGATTTCAGCTTCCTATATCACGCCACCACTTTCTTTTAGTGAGGAGTATGTGGTGCATATTTTTCCCTTTTCTATGACCCGTGCTGAATTCCTCAGGAGACTGGTGATTCTGCAGATAGGGCACTGCAGAAAGCCTGGTCCCTAGGACAATGCCTAGCCCTACCCTCCACAGGCAAGGAGGAGAGGGGGCTGAGGGGCTTGGTGTTAAGCAACGCAAAAATCTGTGCAGAGGGTTTCCACATTTGATCAGCCAAAGCAAGATGCTGAATTCAGCAGAGGTTGAATTTATGAGAACAGCAGCAGGAGGTGGAATGGGGAGTTTAAATGGTGAAAAAGCTTTTAAAGGCGGTCTTTGTATTATCATAAAAGTGTTTGTTTCAGCGTCTCTGCCGGCCAGTGTAAGCTGTATAAGTTTATGAGTAGCTGATATTTCATGTAATAGAAATGCATTTGTCCGTCATGAGTGCCTGTTACTTGGCAAGCAGTGACCGGTCATATTAGACAGTTTCCACAGGCAAAGAGGGATATGCATCCTTCTTAATGGGAAGAAAAACCTGTAAAGGCCTAAGGTATAATATGTAATAACACAAAGCGGTTTGTGTGAAAGCAACGCATAAACCCCATTGACTAAAATAGTATGAGATAAGATCGCTATTGAGAAGTATGAAATTATTTTTGAAAAAGAGCCATCCAAGGTAAGTCAGAGGCCAGAAAATGAACTGCTTTTGTAAATTTCCTGCAATACCGTATAGTGAACAAGGTTACACATGAATGAAACCATGATGTATGATTTGGCTTCTTATGCATTAAAAAATCCTTTAAAACTAAAACTGCAGTGTACATTCCCAAATGATTTTACTTTATGTATTTATTTAGAGAAAACTGAAACAGTTTGCCATTTATGTTTATGCAAAAGCTGCATATTTCCAAGACTATAAAGGAAACCTTAAAAAGAAATTACTTTCAGAAGTCAAGTAAAGATATTTTAAAATGCATAGAAAATGTATTTAAATGAAGTAGATTTTTAAAAGATAAAATCTCAGTTGTCTGTTTTTGGCTGCTTGATCATAACATGAAACTGGATAGCATAGATTTTTGTACATCATGTGTATTTCATTTTATGTTAGCTGTTTGCCTGAGAAGTTGCTTTCCACACTGTGAATTATCTTTTGTATTAATGTTTTGGAACACTTAAAATTGGAGATCATGTAAAATATAGCTGTTTACAGTATTCAACATTTGTGCATAAACTCTCACATAGATTTTGGGTTTGTACACATACATGAAATCTTAATTTTATACTTGAAGTGAAGTATTTGCATTTATAATAGCAGGATGAGACCTAGAATGTTTTACTAAACATCAAAATTATGGACTTGGATATATGAATTGGGTAGCATACCTTTAAGTATTGGTGAGTTTTCAGGTGTTTTCAAGCACCCACAGCTTTCTAAGCACGTATAATTTGAAAGTCCAAGTTTATATAGTAATGGTGTTGCTCACGTTATGTTCTTAATAAACAGCTATTCCATTCATTTATAACACAGCGATAATGGAGGAATGAGATTTGTTGAAATTACCACTCTCAAACAATGCCATTGTATTAATTTCTTTGACTTTTTAGTAGAAAAAATAACCACTGAAGAGGATATTTTAAAAAGCAGTTGTTTGAGGATAAAATTCACTCAAGTGTTGTTTGAGGATAAAATTCACAGAAGTGTTGTTATTTTGCACACATTGCTATTTAAGGTGTACCTTTAATGTAACTGTTTTCAGCAAGTCCATTCTGTCAAGACTACTGTCAAATAAACCATTATACTACCCTGCTCAGCAAAACCTTTGTACTATCTTCGAAGCAATGTGCTAATTGCTTTCTTCATAGGCTGCTGGATGGAAAAGACCACATAAATAAGGTTTTCACATTAGTGAGCAGTGATAATTAGAGATGCCTGACTTTTTAAGGGGAAGAAGTTCATTTTTCTTGAATTAGGTAGAATGGTAGTCTTTGGACTAAGATATCCTGTGTCTTAGGTGCAGCCCATCCATTCCTGATACTGACTTATTCTTGGGCTGTGTTTTGCTTGCCCCCTTGTAGCTGTGCAACTGTCTGTATGGCCTTGCATAGGCAGAGCAGAATTCTGCGAGTGACTCCCTGTCTTGGTGCATAAGATGCCAGAGGAATAGTTAATGAAAGAAGGAATTACTTAATTCAACCAAAAACTTTTTTCCGTTGTGTCACTAACCCCCCAAAACCTTAATTCTTCCACAGCCCTGCTAGGAAAATATGATCAGAAGTTAAAGGTTGCCATCTAATGGTGAATATATATAATATGGTCTTTAAGGGTTTTTTTACATTATTCTTCTTACCTTTCTCCATGTACCTGTAAGTCCTTTCCTCATCACTCTCATTCCTCTAATCCCTTACATTTTATTCAGATTTCACCTGGGGTGGTATCTGCTAGTTGATCAGTAACAAGATGTTGCAACCAAATGTGACATTCCAGCCATTCAGTTTAATTGAATTCTAATTTCTTAATGTTTTTTTTCTATTAATTCAGATATAGATGAGTGTTCCTTTGAAAGGACCTGTGATCACACCTGCATCAACTACCCTGGAAGCTTTGAATGTCTCTGCCATAAAGGCTACACCTTGTATGGACTGACACACTGTGGAGGTTTGGAAACTGAGTTTTGCTTATCTGTTTGCTTTGTGAACTGTTTCCAGAGCCAGACATTTTTTAGCTGAAGATTTTAGAACTAAAGAAGATAAACCAATAAAGTTAAAATAACGCTAAAATAGCGTGAGCTGGGTGTGACTAAAATTTCAACATCTCATATTTGCCGAAGCATTTCCAGGAGAACATAAAAAACCAATGTCCTTGCATTTTTTGATGGTGGTATATAGCAGCCTCAGTATAGATGAGAAGCCTGCAGGTGTGACACTTGCATCCACTGCTGCATGGATGCAGCCGTTCTTCCATGAGCACCACAAAGCAGCCTCGTGGCTGGGGTTCATCGCCCTATACAGAGTAAGTTACAAAGTTTACAAGTGCAGGGACCAATCCATACCTCCACAGGAGTGAGGTTAGTCACAACTGTATTTACAGAAGGAAATGATGAGCAACAAACTGAATAGGAGAAAGATGTCAGTTTTACAAAGTCTACAAATTTTGTCTCTACTGGTATTTGTCCATACCAGACAGTGACATAAAACTGCATGCGAAACTCATTACGGAAAGCTCTGGGGTACCTTGTTCCCATCTTCTGTAGAGCTACTTCAGCTCTTCAAGCTTTTGGCATGACTGGAAAGAATTGGTGCTGTAATGTTTGGTTATCCAGGAGGGAGATATTTTTAAGTGCTTCATAGGGCAGTGTTACCACAATGACTAAATTAAAGGTCCTGCTTCTACCTGATAAAGGCAGATGAATTTCAGAGCACTCAAATTAAGTCCAGTGTTTACCAGGGATGTCACAGTGCGAAGCTGCCTGCCAGTGACCTGGCTAATACCCAGGTATTGCTGTGGTCTCCTGCCTGAACGTTTAATAAGTGGGGCAGGTTTTGATTGTGTTCAGAACACTGGTCAAAGGAGAGCAAAGGGGTTTTTTTGAGGGATTTTTTAAGTTTATTAAGTCCAAATTAAGCTTTTAATCAATCAGGTCATCATTACACAAAGAAAGGTAACAAGAGAAAAATATAATAAAACCTGAAAGCCCTGAATCTGAATTGCTTGTTAGAAAATACTGGTGCAAAAGAAACTGTCCACGCTATTTTTAAATGTAAAACTAAATTGTTTTGTTTAGCTAAAAGAATGTTAATAGTTAATTATTTAATTATTCAAATTATTCAAAATACGAACTAAGTAAAGTTTGCATCAAACTATAAACAAAATCTGACTTCAAACCCACAAAATCCATGTATTCAGGCCAGGTTCTGATCAGAGTCAGACTTGGCTCAGGGGAAGTATGTTAGGGAAATGGCTGAGAACGGTGTTGGGCATTAATGGCTCTAATTTGTGCAGCAGGCATTGTTGTACACATTATATGCAAACGTTGTCCTCTGTGTATTCCTAAGTCGTGCTACTGAGCCAAAAAGGTACAGATAAAGGTTCATGTTGTTTCTGTTCCCGTGTGATTTGGTTTTTGCCGTGAAAACTGATGTAGCAGAAACAGATGCTAGCCCCTCACTTATCCAAGTGCTGAGATCACCTGCTTTTATAAGGTTAATGTGAGACACTACTAATGATATCTCTTCCTGCCTTCTCTTTAGGAGAAGAGTGTAGGAGGTATATGTATCTGTTTATTGTATAGAGCAGAGTAAGTAACAAGTCAATTTACTGTATAGTAGAGGCAGGCAGGAAGAGAAATGGGAGCCCATCTAAGGAAGGAGTTTGGCAAAAGACTTCACTTGAGGGCAGTTCTGAAAGAAAAATCAGATTCTGAAAGTTCTGGGGAGCTGTGTGGGGCGTGGAAAGATGGATCTTCAATTTCACTGTTAATTCCTTCGTGACTTTATGTATTAATTTAGGAAAAGCCTCAAAGTTTGGGGTTCAGCCTCGGACTTTAAATAATCTTCAGTCTCAGTTCAGCTTCAGTTTTTTAAATAAGACTAAAGTAGGACCAAAACTTTAACTGGAAATATTCAGTGCTGAAATTCAGGCAAACACACAATCAGATCCAAACCTCCTGCTTTTTTCCATAATGAGCAGATCCAGAATCACAGCTCTGAATCCAGACTTGTCCAGGCCCTGAGCTTTGTCACTCAAGCCTATCATTAGTTTTAGTCAGCCCTTGAAGAGTGATGTTTGCAGTGGAACAAATAACTCACCTTGGCTGCCATCTATGTGGTGCTAAGTAGAAATCAAAAGATTTGGTACAAGCTTGCCACTTAATAAGCTTTCTATCCATCTTGCTTCCCCTTTCTTAGTAATTAATAAACTACATGGCAGTGTGTTTTTTCTAGGCCTTCCATGCTGAGGGGCAACCCTTGTTGCTCTCTCTGGGATTCTTATCATGACATCTCTTGTAATAAAAGTTGTATTTCATAAGAGAATCTTTTAGAAGGACAGTGCTAGTACTTACATCACCCATTTATGCAAAGCTCTACTTACAGTATATATTGGCTCATTAAGTGACCTCAGGAAAGTCAGTAGAATCTGCAGGACCGTTCAATGCCTTTGGGAATTTGGCTGCTTCTTCAGAAGCTTGGTTCTGGCCTGAAGTACTTGACAGCAAAAGCTTGTGTTTGAACAGTTCAGCCAGAGCTCAGTGGCACGAGCACTGTGGACTGAATGTGTTTTGAAGTATGAGTTAGCGAGTAGATCCCACTGTTACACTCAGCAGAAGCCTGGCTATTATGTACTAAACTTCCCAGCAAGTTTTTTCTGGGACTATCTCCCACGTCAGTTTTTGGAACTGCTGACCCAGGACCTCCAGAAGTCCTGACACTGACTCAAAAATCATGTTTTCTAGAAACATGCTTCTTTTATTAAGCATCTCAGTTTCTTTTATGCATGTACTCCATGTTTTCTAGATTTTTGCTTAACCACACAGGCATCAGGAAAAAAAAAGTCATTTCCGGATTCCAGCAGCTGCCCTGGTAAATACTCTCATGTTCCCATCAAGTGCCCCAAGATGCCGGAGGAGGACTTGTCTGATATATATAGGCCTGTGTTTTTTAACCACTGCAAGGCCCAAGTGTGTGCTTGAACCAAATCCCTCATCAGCCCCACCTTCTACCTGTATCTCACCCTCTGGCTTCAGATTGTGACACTGGGCTCCAAAACTGGTGCTTAGGGAGAACTAGCTTAAACTCACGCTGTGTTCCTGCAAATCATGTGGATTCATATAGTGCCAAGCACATGGCAATCAGAGCTCAAGCCTGGGCTCAGGTGGGGTTTGGAAAGGCAGCTAAGACACTCAGCCTGTGAGCCTTTACAGCCAGTCCTCCCTTAGAAACACATTAAGTGACAATTAATGGCCTATCATTAAGCCAGCATATTAGCAATTCAGTATATTTCATGTTGATGTGGTGTCATTCTAGCTCATTGGAGCTTATGTCAAATGGCACAATGTACGTGCCTTGTAAAAACCTGTTATAGTAACACTACCATTTTAGCAAGCAGATGGGTAGCTGCATTCAAAGGGCAGCAACCACTTGCTGAGGTTAGTGCGGTGCCTAAAATAACAGGGCTGTGGTTCATAACAAGGGGTTTAGATTATGGCTATAGTAGTAAACTAAGGAGTCTGGAGCAGAAATGCGTGACTGATGGTTCTTTAGAGCCATGTGGCAGTTTTAGCCTGTGCCATCTAGTGTGCCAAGTGTGCTTGACCATGATCCAAAGGTGAGTACATGGCATGAGCATGAGTATAAACATCCTTTCTAGTGGTGGGAGAAGAGGAGATGAGAGATTGGCTTGTGTTGGCACAAGTATATGAATGTTGGTTGCATAGACTAAAAAAGTTATACCTCATATTGACTAAATACTTTTATAATGTATCAAAAGTTGAAAGATTTTATGTGGAATATCAGTGATAACGTATCCGGTAATTGCTTTGCCTTCTTGCAAGCTTTCACCTTTCATTTTTATTTTAGGAGTAGAGGACTAAATTACACTTCAGCTGCTAGTTTCCTGTCAAATATATAGTTTTCTCCTTCATCTGAATCGTTTCTAAAAGCAAACTCTGAATCACTGTGGAGAATTTATGTATCTGTTATGCAAAAGTGATCTGATCTCACAGATGTTTATGCCTTTGACATTTTTCTATATAATGCAACATACATTATTGTCCAGATGCTGCAGAGACTTTTGAGCATGTTTTGTATCTTGTGAGTACTTCCAAGAATTTCAGTGTAACTACTCCTGGCAAGTAAATTGGATCGTATACATAAATCCTTGAAAGAGTAGCAGCTATACATATGTCTAAGGATAAATTCATGTAATATGCACTAAAATTGTTTGATGTGTACATAATATCTTAATGCACAGTATACATGTGAACATATGGTTAATACTCTTCTCAAATTTAATTCATTTTTAGATATTGATGAATGCAGCATCAGCAATGGTAGCTGTGACTATGGGTGTCTCAATACAATGGGGAGCTATGAGTGTGTTTGTCCACCTGGAAAGAAACTGCACTGGAATAAAAAGGACTGCGTTGGTAAGTGTGGGAGGCTGACCCAGAGGTGACTGTGGTGATGCTCCTGTTCACTAGGAGGGTGGAAAAGCCCATGGTTTTGTCTAAGGGATGCTGCATTTTCACAGTATAAATCCCAAAATTTTCAAGTAACACCTAATCCTATGGGGGTCCGTGGACTAGGATATAACTGCAGGTGGCTTAGAGAATGGGCAGTATGTTGCATTTTATTTGTGCTGATATTTTTTTATGAGGCCATTCACACAAGTCTAAGTCATCTTCTTATTATTGTATGTATTTTATAGTTTTGTCCTTTATTTGTCTTTTGTCCATCTCTGTGACCTCAGCTATAACTCTGTTTCCCTCTAAAACTAATTTAGAATATTCAAAATAGTTAACTGTTTACAAGTAGGACATGGTATTCAGGTTAATATCTGCATTCACAGCATCATACCCCAATTTTTCAAATTATGTCCAAAGGTATCCTGCTTAATGTAAAGTACTGACACTAGCTGTGTTGAAAGTATTAATTGCAGTAAGCACAAATCCTGAGACCATTAAAATTATGGTCCTTGCTGCTAGTGCCACTTACTTTGTGGCAGATCTGAATTTCTGTATCCTTTAAGTAGATTACTTTTTTCTGGTGTTTTATTTGAAACACAGCAAATCTTGTCCATGACTACAGCCATTCAAAGTATTTTCTGAGATTTTAATTCTGTTTTCATGTTTTTAATGGGAATGGCATATATTAGGTCTTTAATAGTCAAATTTAGGTTGTAGGGGTTTTGTTTGGTTCGTTGGGGTTTTTTTTAACTACAAGTAACTTCTCACAGATACAATTGGGACTAATGCCTAATACCTAACTGGAAACAAGACAGAACAAGAAAGGGGGGGACCTTACTTCAGGGAATCTCTGCACAAATGGAGGGAAAGCACTATAGTCTGGAGTGGAGAGCATGCCCTGTCCTCTTGCATGATTACGGAATTGTGGCAATTTTTTCATGTACATGGATACAGCAGTATGTAAAGCGCTATATAACGAGGGTAGGGCGGGGTGGGGTGGGGAGTGAGTATCTCAAGTTGGGTTTCAGCCTTTGCCACTGACTTTCTTTCTAACCACTATTAAGTACTTTCTTTTTCCCTCTTGCTTTTATGTGTATTACCTTCACTGCTATGTAGAGAACTAAGTAACAAAGGAGTAAGAAATTGTTAACTCTGTTTTTTTTAGTAATCCACTAGTCTCCTTTGCAATGTACCAGTTAGTCCTCTGGAAAGGAGTTTGTAAATTAAAAACAGGGACTAAAATTTTTTGAGGTCTGACATATACTTAGACCACAGAAGTTTTGTGTTATATTCTCTCTCAACCTACTAAGAATGTTGTTCCCATAGTAAGAGGCTATATTGAAAATATTTTCCTAGTTGTACATTTCCCTTCATTATTTGTAATACTCAGTTGGAAGATGGAAAATAGAACACCCTTCTCTATTGATACACACTGTTTTATTTGATGAATTTAATGAGGCTTAAAATGAATGTCATCTCCCTGCTGATCGCCTGCCTTTATTACCAACATTGTTTAGAGGAAACTGCATTCTTATAAAAGCAGAATGATATCTAACGATCCTGAATGCCACAGGATTTGGAGGCATTTGCAGTAACAAAATCCTTTTTTGCTAAGCAATGACACCTTGCACTTGTGCTGTCTCCTCAGTCCAAATAAATACTTTCTTTAAAAACATCACCAAAGCAACATAAATACCTTAGGAGGGAGTTAAGTGGAGGATGATTATTCCCATATTTGAGATGTGAACATCAGGCATGTTTAAGGGATTTGTATATATTTGTATCTAACCAGCAGTGAGGCCAGGAACATGAACCAGCTGATGGCTGCTGAGACCATTCCTCTGCACTGAAGCCAAGCCAGGCAAGGCTCATTCCAGCTACCACATATGAATATACCCCTGTTTCGTCCTAGCTTTACTGGGCTTTTCTCAGACTGTGGTGGAACCAAACCAGTCTGGCTGCTGCGGCTCTGCTCTCCCCACCACATTGGGGTGAGCTGAGGGGTGGGAAAAATGACATTTGCAGTAGCACAGTCAGCCATGAGCACAAAAAGAGTCAGCCAAGTCCATCATGTAAGGCGAGCAAGTTTGGAAGAAGTTGCAAGGAACAGTCAGAGAATAAGCATATGTCCCTGAACAGGTGTTTTTACTGGGCTGAAGCAGTAACTGCTTTAAGGACACCTGGCTGAGATTTGACCAGCTGATGCGATGTGAAAGATCTGCTTGAAGAGGTGCCCAGCTGCACTTGGCCAGCAGTCAGTGCAGAGGTTAAATCTCCTTGAGAAAGGAAGTGGTGAGGTTGCCTCAGTGCAGGTAGTGACGGCACCTGCCAGCCGCAGCTGAGAATGAACCTCCTCTTTTGTGTGGAGAAAGATGTACTTCAGTAACACTTCAGTCAAAATAAATGCAAGATTATAATTATCAGTAGCATACCATCATCTCGGGGTGAAGCACAGAGGCTGGTCCAACAACTTTATGTAGTTTCAGCTAAAACACAAAATAATCCCTTACCCAAATATGAAGAGCATCTTATGAGATCTGCAGGGTGTTCTGTCTTCATCCTGCCATGAAGCCAAGAGGAGAAGCTGGAAATTTCCTCTGCACGAGCTGCAACGTGCCTCATGTGTGGGTGCTGATGAGAAATGGCTGATGTCTATGTGTATCAGTGTCCCTTCTAGCACTGCTTGGGGCATTTCAGCAGTGGCTGAAGGGACCAGTGGGACTATCCATCTCCACCCCAGCATGTCCTGCCTCACTTCTGCCTGGTTGGGAAGTTTTCTACTTCCAGAAGCTGGAGCACAGAGCTAAAATTAAAAAGACTGAGAGTTAGAGTAAGAAGTGGAAAACACCATTTTAGCAGTCATCTAAATAAACAGATCTTTGTGAGGGTGACTCCTGTGCGCAGTGTGGTAGTTGGCCTGTTAAACCAGAGAGCTGTGCCTCCAAAAGGGGGAGAGGGCATCTCAGGTCATTAGTGCTACCTGTTGCTTCTGAGATCAAGGTGTGCACACAGGTGTACACATCTGGACCTGAACAGTCCCAAAGTGGAGGACAGGAGGGAA